ATGCAGTATTTGGTGATCTGTGACCACTTCTTTTCCAATTCATTTCTATGGGAGCCAGGGCTTTTTGGAGCCAGGACTAGCGGACGTAGTGATATTACAGGTTTTTGACACTTCCAGGTTGGCTTCATTTTTCAGGGCCGGTTGCTACGTCCATCTTTTAATACAGTCTATGGTTGCCATACGTAGACGGTCTTTTGGGGTGCATTGGACCCCAAGAAAGAATATATGCAAAATATTTGTTGGTACTCATTATAGACTTTTATACTACGTTAAATACATTTTCTGATAAGTTGACGTATTTTTGGTTCCAAATGCATGACAAATGTCCCTCTTTATATATAAAAATCTTCAAAAATAATAATAAAAAACCAATACCCGTCACCTAAACCATTGGCCTGGGGTCCAAAAGACCCCAACAGTCCTGTATAGGGTTAAAGCTGAGTTTTTTCTTCCTACCATGGCAAAAGAACTGTTCAAAAGGACCTTTTGTCTTGGATTATGTGGAGTTGAGCTATACTGGGAATTCTATCTATATAAATAGAACTGAATTGAATTGAAAATTGGAAAACATGGACTCGTCAGGCCCTGGTACTGAGTAGGCCGAGCCTTATCTGACTTGTTAAGACTTGTCAGGGAGATGAAGAATTGTCGTTAGAAGCTGTGAGCTGCATAATGACAGCTCCAGAGCGGACACAATCTCTGATTCTTGAAGTAGCCTTCTGGATTTGAAAATGAGGCTTACTCATATCTACAAAAAAGACATCAAAGTAATTCCGGCTCACAGGTTCCACTGTTTAAAAGGTAATTTTGCAGTCAAGGGAAGCTGGAGGAGTCTTTTATTGGTTAACTTCTGACTTTCAGAGCCCATACTTTTTCACACATAACATTTATGTATTTTAAAATAGGATAAAAAAAAATGAAAGCACAGTAAAGAAAGGATCTCTTTTTGTTCCACTCTCGCTTTCTCACACACACTGGGTGACAGATAACACAATGATCAGGGGTACAGTGGAAGTCACGCATGCTCAGATGCTCAGACGTTATGATTAGTTCTCCCCCTCCTCTCCCTCTCTCTCTCTCTCCCTCTCTCTCCCTCCCTGTGTCTCTTTCTGATCAAGCTGAGGAGGAGCATCTGTATCAGTGTTCAGAGTGATGGACGGGCAGCAGGTCGCCATAAAACACACATCTTCACTCCACACAGTGTACTGAGGTGACCGCAGGCTGAGGCGCGCCGCGGCGCCCTTGGAGGAGGATCTTGACTGCCGCAGGAAGAAACAGAGAGGAGGCAGAGGATTGTAGAGGAGGGAGGGTGGAAGATCAGAAGAACAAATGGCCAAGAATAGATGATGGAGCGCTGGCAAATGACTGAGGTTGACCGCGAGTGAAGTTGGTTTTTGCGGGAAAGCAGGTGAGTGGAGGCGGAGGAAGGTGTGTGTGTGTGTGTGTGTGTGTGTGTGTGTGTTTAACGGTAGGTGTAGGATATAAATAGTTCCTGATGGTGAATTGATTATGGCACATAACGCACTAACAGGCAATTACAGCGACACGGTAATTGGCAACGCGTCCGAGGAGTCGGGGGTCCATTGATTGTGCCAATCCACGAGCGCACGCAGAGTGTGTGTGAGCGAGAGCGCGCTTTTCCCCATTCAAGAATTCGTCATGGGTCACGGGTCGGGCTGTCATTGTAGGAATATGACACACACATGACGTGTGGTGCATGCAAGAGAAAAATATATTTTTTAAATAAAATGTCAAGGTGTGCCAGGAGCGGGAATCGAACCAGCGTCCTTGGCCGTGCTGGTGGCGCAACAACAACCGGGGATGTAACGTTTCAAGCTGTAAAACAACTATTTGATTCAATCTAAATGCGGCAACACGGGCAGCACAGCCCTCCTGTTTTTCACTGAGGGTGTGTGTGTGTGTGTGTGTGTGTTTGCAACCCTCTGGCGTCACTGGGGCGCATCACCGAGAAACCCAGATAACCTTGAGAATAACATCTCACATGCAGACATCTGCTCACTTGGATTTACGTCATAACACATCATAACATCCAACAACTTCACACATATCTTGGCCTCTATAATAAAACACATTGTGCTGTATATTAGAGCCAGTCAGTCATACTTTAACTGTATAAACTTTGACAGCTGCATAATGCTTTCAGACTGTTCAATTATTAACAATGTAAGAGTGCCTACAGTGGCTTATTAATACTCCATATCAAAGATGCTACTGCTTTTAAAGCAGTGTAAGCCCTTAGAGGATGTTTGTCAAATAAACACACTAGAAAATGCATCTTTATGTAAGTACACACACACACACACACACATGCCATGAGGTTCCTTTCTGTTAGATTTTATCAGAAGAGCTTTCTCTAGAAATCCACACTTCAGTCTCTCTGCTGCCGTAATCACTTGGTTCAGGTCTGCTGTTGACTCGCAGCGGCTCACTTTTAGGGTTGTGTAAGGTGTGAAACAAGCTTTTTGAGCCTGGAAGCAGCAGCACTGCAGAGGCAGGCTGCATCATCATCCAGCACGATAACGGACTGAGAGAGTCAGACACGCGAGGAACATCCCGATCTCTCTTTTTTTGTGTGTGTTTTCAGCTGATAAGATTTCATCCAACCTTCAGTGAGAGTAAATGACGGGATCATCTCAAATGTCACCAGAGCAACCTCATGCCAGTGGCTTTTTTACTTCATTCAGCAAACTGTGAAGTGCCTGTAGTGAAATCATACAGTCACAGTTCATCATCTCATTCAATCTGATTTCTGTTCTCACCATTTTAAGGCATGCTTCAGTTGATTTAGAGTGAAGCTGTGGAAAGAATAAGTCACTTTTAAGTCACTCAGGCGGCACAGCTTCCTCAAAACACCCTTTTTCAAAGAAAGGCAATTGTAACCAGTTCTCTATTATATATTTTGGAGTACTTGCCATTAACTAGAGAGCTAAAAACAGCCCTCGTACCACGAGCTTCCAAGCTGTTACAACTGCCTCAACAAGGCCATTTATGCTGATATGTGGAAATACTCTATTTCTCCAGAGAGAGCAAGGGCCACATCGCCAGCCACAGTTCCTCCCCCTGCTTCCACCAAATCAAAAAGACTGCACCACTAATGATCTGAGAAACAGCAGTGATCTGCCAAAACCAGTCGCTTTTCCTCTGCCCGCTGCAGTCACATCATTCATCTACATCCTCAAACAGATCAGGAAAAACATAGTGAAACTGAAAAGCCTCTAAACTCTCTGATATGAAGGACGTTTGTCACACATGTAAAAGATGTGGGATATGTAGAGGTTTTGCCATATTGTGGTAGCTTTCCCATCAACATCTGTGGTAGATTTGTATGATTTTTTTTTTTTTACATTTATATACCTGAAGTTTAATTCATTGAAATAACCCAAACCTAACATTTCCATCAAGTTAATTTGTTAATTAACAGTTTCTTAATCGATTTTTCCAGTTGTCCTGATAGAAATCATGGCAATACAGTTTACCATAAAGAAATATTTTATCATGATAAAAGATTTTATCCATGACACCCAATCCTAGTGCTTGTTTGTATTATTTTAACTATTCTTCCTCATTTTTTTTTTTTTTTAAGTTAAAATTCTTTTTAAAAAAAAATGCATTCATTGCTGTTGAAGTTGCAGCATGAGAAACTGCTTTTCTCTTGCTTTACTATATGTCACCTGTCAAAAAAAATCACAGCACACTGGCCACTTTTTCAGGAACCCATGAGAGTTTTGGAGAAATTGCAAATTCATCTTCAACTTGCAAACTATTATTAATTGTGAAACATGATGCTGCGGCCATCTGTGTCAACAGAGCTCACAAATTACTTTTGTTAAATGGACTGGCTATGATGAAGTGAACAAGTATAACAATAATGATTCAAGTCAGGAACCTTACACTTCTCTTAGTCATTATTCAGAAAACACATTTCAGTAAAAAGCCCTTTCATTTATGTTAAGCTATTTTTTCTGTAGATAATACAGACAAGTTAAAAAAAAAAGAAGTATGTAATGCCACACAACTCTAGGGAAATAACTGAGCAGCATGCTCTACATGCTCGTGCATGAACAAACATTATGTCATCTGAAAGTGTTCCCCATTCCCAGAGAAACTGGTGGTCCGTCGAGTGTTTTACAACCTGAAATGCAGCAGTGGGAGTGAGCCTCAGAGCACCTGCATGGCCGAATTGTTCTGCCGCAGAGAACCATACATCAGTTATAAGTCAGCCACCCATGGAGCATGCAGAACCTTGAAGACAAAAGTTAAAGAGAGACGGAGAAAGAGGAGGAGATGGTTGAAAGAAACGTTATGGAGCAGGCGGCAGATTAGATGAGACACTGAATTCTTGTACACCTTTTTATGTAAAAGCCAACACATTTTGCACAAATTGACAGACAAGAGTGAGCGAGGTCACTGGAATGAGGCAGAGGGAAGGAGTCATTAGAGAGAGCAGGATAGGAGACAAATGAGGCAGGAAGCAGTGGCTTATGTAACTGTCATTGCCAACCATCTCTAAGCCCCCATGAAGGTCGCGTTATCCAAGAAGACTGAGAGGAGCGATAAGGCCATTACGATTCTGTATAATTCATTTAATAAGGGCTTAATGTGAAGTCTCGTGGCACAGACGGAAAACGGTTAAACTAGTGATTGATCACATGGGTAGAGCTTACGTACGTTCCCTGGCAAACACGCAGGGCACATGGGAAGATGTGAGTCACTGCTATTATTATCTCGGATATTAAAGATATATGAGATATCAAGCAGGATCCCAGAGAGAGGCAGCATGACGGAGAAAGAAGAGAGAGGGTTTGCAGGGGTGTAAAACATTAACTGGATATGGAGCTAAAAGAATTTCCTTTTTTTTCCTCGCAGGTGTCCGTCTTGTCTCAGTTTTCAAAAATGGAGTCCACTCACCTCCTGGGCGGCTCTAAGAAGAGGGTAAAGATCCACCCTCACACTGTCACGGCCAAATACGCCACACACACCCCCTACTCTCCTCAACCCGGAGTGCACACACACTTCCCCCAACCCGGGGATGACGGCTACGATGACGCTCCATCTTTTGAGGACTTTGGCTCGTTCCTGGAGGAGACGTCAGACAGAAAACAGCTGACGGAGAGCCGGAAGTGGCCTCTGACGCTGTTTGGCTCTAAAGACAAAGACAAAGACACATCCCACAGACCTCAAGCTGCCGGGGGAGGAGAAGGGAGTGAGGGGGGAGCCAAAGCAGCAAAGGGGACCGGGAAAGGAGTAGGGGAACAGCTGGCTAGTTTTGGTGAGGCGTCAGTGTCGGCGTCTCGGCTCACCTGGGTGGGGTTGCTCGGGGCGGCGCTGGCACATGGCTGTTTGATTGTTCTCACCCGTGTGGCCTCCGAACGCTTCAGCCTCGGCCCCCTGTTCCTGCTCTTGGTTCGGTCCATCGTACAGCTCCTGTCTGTGGTTGTACCGCTATCCAGGGGGGAGAACCTCTTTGGACCAGAGGGCTATCGACTACGTCTGCTCTGTTATGGCGTCTCCTACTCCCTCTCCCTTTGTTGCGCCTACGCATCCTTAACCTTCGTCTCCCCCGGAAATGCTACAACAACCTGGCGCCTGGCGACCACGGCACTGTCGGCGACCCTTGCCTTCCTGCTCTTGGAGGAGAGGCTGGGATTGGCTGATGGGATCACCATAGCCGCGGGGCTTTGCGGTTTGGGCCTTGTGTTACTTCCCACAGCAGATGAGAGTAATTCAGATTCACCGACTGACCCGGTTGTGTTCTGGAGGGGCGCCTTTGGATGGTCCCTTTCGGCACTCGCAGGGCTGTGGATGGCCCTGGCGCTGGTCGGGTACCGTTCCCTGAAGGAAAGGGTGGGAGTCGGCACCGCTTTGTTCACAGTGAGTTGGACAGGCTGCCTGCTCGCCCCAGCCTCTTTGGTCCTGCTCCAGGAAGGCTGGTCCTGGCCTACGAGCGCCCCAGCCTTGGGCCTGGTCCTGGGTCTGGTCGTCTGCTCGGTTGCGGCCTTTCTGGGAATGACGCACGCCCTCACCCGACTCCACCCGGCGCTGGTCTCCGCCTCTCAGAGCCTGGAGGTGCCTCTCGCCATGCTCCTGCATCTGGCGGTGCTGCCGGTGGCTCCCACTGCACCGGAGGTCGTGGGGAACGTGATGGTCCTGCTGAGCGTCGGGTGGCTGGTGGCGATGAAGCTGCTCCCCTCTCGAGGTGCCAGCCGGCGCCAAAGGGAGGAGTACGAGGAGATCCTGGACTCACCCATCAAATAGACACCTCCTTCCCTCAATCCCTCCTTCATGAGATTGATTCCAGTGTACATAAGAGACTGCTAAATGTTTATTGGAGCTTTAACTATTTTGTATCGTCCTCTTTGCTTTTTGAGAAAGTGCCAATATTGTGTTGTCTGGTATGGTGACTAAGTGATGTGATATTAAAATCTCTCTGATGAACACAGTGCATTCTTGTAGCCACTTGTAATCACTACCACCCTACCCTCCCTACACCCCCTCCAAGAGTTTGAGCGAGTGTGTACTCTGGCTACATTTCTCGAGAATGTAATGTCAGTCACTTTTAGCGGCCAGCTGAGGTTTAGCCAAGGATTGATGCCATCTATTTGTCTGCTGGCTGCTGATGAGAAAGAGAGAGAGAGGGAGAAAAAAAAAACAGAAGACGGGAGGCAGAGGGAGAGGAGCGAGATACACAGTCAGAGGAAGATAAATGGAGGAAGAGCGAGAGAAGATGATGGGATTGGCATACAGATAAGAAGCAAGGGAGGAGGAAGAGTGATGGGAGACGAGGAAACAGAGATGAAAGGGAAAGACCAGAATGAAAGGAAGTCAGGATGGAAAGCAAAGGCTGATGATGGCTGGTTATTGTGCTTCGTCTGGCCAGCTGGCTGATAAAAACACAGTTACATGTGCCGGGAAGAGTCATTATGTCTAATAACTACCTGCCAGACACATAAGCACCGTATTTTTCTGGGTCTGTCCTCTCTCCTCATCATTAGCCTCCTGCTTTCCTCTTTGTGTCTTTTCCTCTCTGTTAAAAGTGAATGAACAGCACACGACAAAGCGCCCATTCACCGAAAATCCCCCCACATAGTGCACAGATGGAGGCTTTTAATGAAATGAAAGCCTCCGAATGTTTGCGTGCATGCTCGGTACCGTGGTGAAACAGGTGTAGTATAAAGCCAGTACACGAGAGAGACACCTCCTCGCTCCTCTGCAGCTTGTTAGTTGTGACATTTCACAGAAATAAAGGCCAGAAAAAGACATCAGATCCTGCCTGCAGTTTTCCACCCAAGTGCAGATTTATAAAGGAAAGTGCATGCACAACACACACACACACATGCACAGGAATGGGCACGAGTATACATTTATATAGCACGGTTGTAATCCTTTCATTGGTAAATGTTTCTGTGATGTCAGTGTGCTGGCCTAATTAAACTCACATATGGTTAAAATGTTATTTGTCGGTACATTTTGAACAGTGGATTAATGTAGCTGCACTTCAGGACAATCTTGAGGTATTTGTACTTTACTGGAGTACCCTCCTGTTCTTGTACTAGATTTCAGGGGAAACCACAGGACCTTTTATTCTACTACATTTAGTTACACCTTTAGGCTGTGAGATTATGTACAAAAAGTACTGCCAGTGCAGAAAGTATGATGCTTTGTTGTAGATTAAACTACCTAAATACAAATTATTTAAAATTAACTCCCTCACAACCACCCTTTTATGTTAACGTATCATCAGATAATATAATAATAAATCACTGACAGGAGTCTTTCTGCTGTGGATAGAGGACTTTGGGGTAAATTCAGTTGATAATACATGCAATAGAGTATTTTCTTTTTACATCAGGCTTTATTATTACTTCTACCACTGATTTTACTATGTTCTCATCTTCAGTCTCCCTTTCTGCTTTCTTATTTCCTCTTCTACACTTGTGAAACTCCAACAAACAGAAGTATAAATACATAAAGAATTAATAACGCGCTGATGTGGGACCAAAAACCATCACACCAGAAACTGTAAAACATACGGAAAGTACCTCCAGCTGCAACACCAGCCGCTCTTTGTGTGTGTTTTTTTTTTTGTTAATATAATGAGCATGCATGTATGTGTGAGTATGAGGCTTAAGGTGGGACGGGGGTTGCAGTTTAATGTTGTTCTGGCAGCATCTCATTCATCATAAACACTCTGAGCATCGTAAGTCGTGGCCTTTCTGCATTCAGACACTGTTAAAGCAGCTAATGAGCGGGAGAGACCTGCCCACAATTAAACACAGTCCAAAACCTCTGACACACCTTCTTGCGGCTGCGGGCATTCGCAGTCATCACCGCAACTACACAAACACTGAGACGGTGGTGTAAACTCTGACACGTGCAGGAGAGGATGAAGCACACGCATTGAAAAGTGTAAACATGCACACGAATGTACAAAGCTGAAAATGGGTCTATTTACTGTGTAGGAGGAGGGAGGAAACCTTTCCATGAGGCTGATTTGGTTTGTTCAATTAACTTTTATTCATTATTGCAAACCCACAATATTTATGGTACATTTAAGTTCATTGTCACCAGACACAAACAAGTTCAGCTATAAAAAAAAGGTTCTCGAAGAAAAGAAACATAAAAAATAAACATGTGCAAAATGATTATCATTAACAGAGTGTTCCCAGTCAAGCTTTTTTTGTTAGGCTTCCCCTCTGGGCAATTCATGTGTCTCCTCTGTTCTTCCTCAGTGTTCCTGCCTCCTCTATCACTTTGCTCAGCTGCAGGTGAATCCTCTGCAGATCTGTTGCTATAGCAACAAGAGCCCTTTCCATTGTGGCCATGTCCAGTGGTGAAGTCACTTCCTGCTCCTTCAGGCCAGATGGGAACGGTTTCATCCCCAAGCCAAACGCTGCTCCCAAACCTCCAGGTCTCATGGTTGGCTGGTTTCCCATCCTGCCGTCTGCTGGCCCGGATGGCAACGCTTCCTCCAGCCTTTTCAGCCGGGCATTCTCCTCATGGCTGCTGCGCAGGAGCATGTGAAAGGTGGCGTTGAACCTCCTCTCCCTCTCCGCTTCCTCCTCTCTGAGCTCCACCAAGCCTCGCTGAAGCCTGAGACTTGCCTGCTCTGCTTGTGCCCTGCACGCCGACTCCAGGCTGGGTACGCACTGCTGGCACGTTCCCTTGGCCAGCTTGTCCACCTGGTTCCTCAGAGAGAACATTCCTCCACAGCACTGCTCCATAGATTCCAGCAGCATGTTCTGTCTCATGTGGGAGTCCTCCAGAGCGATGAAAAGCTTGTCCCAGCGGGTGAATTCTGCATTGCATGGCGTGGTAGGAGACTCTCCTGTAACTGACAACCACATAGGTGCATCAATTATACAGTCTTAAAGGCAACTAGAGGATTATGTAATATCAACATCCAACAAAAAGGAATCATCCATTTAATTTTTAAGAATATACAGCCCACAATGGAACTTGTTTGTATAAATCTGGCATCAATGTAATACTCACAATTTCCCACAGATACTTAAATCTTGTTACAGTGGAATAAAATAAGAATATGGGTAACAAGAGAGTAGCAACTGTACATTTTAAATGAAAGGAGAAGTACTGGGACATAAAAAAAAAGGAAAAAATTATGTTAGAACTGGCCTACTAAACCTCAGAATGAATTATGATATTTCACAGTTACAATATGCGAATAAAACTGTGGGGTACAGCAAGGTAGTGCAAGCAGCTTTGGGAAATCATTTAAAGCTCAGATGGAAAAAGTCACAGAAGAACTAGTTAGAAATATAGATGCTGGGTTCCCAAAATGACACGAGGGGTGCTCACTAATACTAAGACACAACTAATTTCATTCTGTGGGGTAGGGGAGGGGTTTGTCGGTCTGTAGCAACTTATTCATGGTGGATTTAAACGGTGAAATGTTCATCCAGTCCACGGGCAATTTAACCTACCAGCTTGTGCTGCATAGACCGACTGAACTGTAGGTGCTGATTCTTAGAGCAGGAAAAACAACTGCTGTTGCCCTTTGCTCATGGTATTTATTGGTAAGATTGGCCCAACAAAAAAATGGCGCTGACCTGACAAAAACAGTTGTTGCTTTCATGTCCACTCATAGTACACATTGCAGTCTCACTCATTTGCCCTTAGCTCATTATAAATTACCCAAGATTGCTCCCTCGCTTCCCATAGTCTTGCTCTCTTCCCCCTGCACCTACATTTAGGTGCCAGTATGAATCAATAAATATTTTATTGAGGCCTGACTCAGACACTGTTGTGGGATGTGTTAAAGTGTAATTCATGCAGCCGAGCGCACAACAACTCAGAAAAACATACATTTTACGCACGCATGGCATTAAACATACTTGAGTATTTTGTTAAATTCTTTATTTTTTCTCTGTAAAAAGTGCAGCATCAGGTTGAACATGAGTTGCAGCAGAACTCAAAACGTCCTGTGATCCTGTTATAATTGCAGTAAATAGCTGTGACCAGAGAACAGAGATGCTTCGGCAGTTTTCCAGCTTTTTAGATACACAATGTACAATGCAAGTCGCCTCTGATGGCAACTGCATGAGAATTTACATTCCAATATACTGTCATATGTGAATGGAAGTAGACCAAGAGTCTTGTGCAACAACATCATGGAACACCATTACCTACCTTCCAACATGAATGAATCATTTTGTGCTTATGCGGGTTTTTCTTTTTTCATAAAAAAAAATATAAATATATATCGAATTGGCTCGGCTAACTGAGGCATGGTAGCTGAGGACACATTCTTCACAATCGCCCATCTGTTCAAACAAACAGGGAACAGAAGAGACAAAAGAACACATAAACAGAACTCACCCTCCTGCTGGCCCTGAGAGATCTCGTTGTCATAGTTGTCTGCGTAGTTCCCCTCGTACTCAACCTCATTCACACACAAAGATGAACCCACGATGCCAAGAACGCACAGCGCCCGCCAGATCTCCAGCACATGCATGATGGAGCCCCTGATGCGTGTCGTTTCTTTTAAATTTGTTGGGTTTCAATGCATGTATCAGGAAAATTTGTGACCCAGTTTCCCCTGCTACTGCACCCTCCAGCTGCTCTCTATTTTCTTATTCGCCCCCCTTGACTTTATGTAAAGCTCGTCTCACTGAGCCAACTGTTGCGGGTGCTGACTTATAAACCCAGTGAGAGGGGGAGGAAGGAGGGAGGAAGCTGAGGAGGGTGGGACAGAGCTGGGGGTGCTGTGGAGATTGGGTGAGTAATGCTCCGATGGAGGTAATATGTCAAAAGTCAAACTGGGAAATGTGGCCATTATGGGGAAAGAAAGGGAGAGTTAGAGGTGCACAGGGAAAGCTGGGGTGAACATAATTCTCTCTATAGGACATTCAGCATTTAAATTGGTTTAAGGTGCAAGGTTGGGTGTTGTTTTCGCTTAATGAAATGTAGTTGCAACGTTTATAACTCTGATTCAACGAGAGCGATAAAAATAAAGAGTTAGTTTACATTCATGTGCTGTATAACCACTTACAGACACATCATCAATTAATTTTCTGCTTTTCTGTATTAGCTTTTTTTTAATTATCAACAACTTGTAATACTTTTCTCTCGGCGAGAAACACAAAACCCTACAGGCACATCTACACTGTCTCCATAGCATACTTGAATCAACACACTCCCTCTAGATCAGTCTCCCTCTTTAACCTTTTTACTGATGAGTCAGAGTCACTCGCTGCGCTCCGCATCGTCACCAAATCCTTTACCCTAAAAACTGCAACACTGCAGAGTCTGGATTATATTTTAAGCTTGCAACGATTATGTTTTCACTATTTGAAATCAAATTTTGTTGCTAAGCAACACTGTACAAGTGTGCTTTTTAGCTCCTTTTTTGTATAAAGTTGCTTGGTGACACTGTTGATTAACCTTGAGTAAGAATCAGGAGTTACTGCATTCTTTGCACGGCCAACTGACCTCCTTCTTATAAGCAGAGAATCTGGTCGACAGGTGTTGGGGGTTGGGCGGCAGAAGTAGGACATGTCAAGGTCAGAGGAAAAGCCTTGACCTTTCTCCCTGCAGACCTCCAGACTGAGCTACCAACTGCAAATGTCAGCATGTCACGATGCTTGATTGTCTCTGTCTGGCTGACTATAATTGTAGCAGGGGGACTAACTAAGGTGAGGCTGGCAGATTTATCTGAGGAAAAGAGAGAACCTGCAGGAAGAGGTGGATATGGAGAGCAGAGGTAGAGACAGAGAGGTGGACTGTTGGTGAGGAAAGGTGCAGAAGGTCGGGGAAATATGTATAATTTTTCCTTTCCTACTTGCAGCAAAACAACTTTATTGTGGGCACGAGTGTGTGCATGTCCTTGGCCCCGTTTCATGAAGCAGAAAAGCAGTTAATGTATATGTTGCAGATGTGGTATAAAATGTGGTGTTCTCATCTCATCTTTTATTGGTACCCATATGATTCATATCTACTTCTTTCTTTCAATAGGTCATCTTTTTATTTAGGACATCACGTGAGTCCAAGACGGAGTGGTCACATTTATCAGCAGGCGCCAGACAGACGGTTTACCACCCCCACCTGCACACCACACCTACAGTTTAGCTGTCACACAAAACACTCCCAGCTGGCAGCGAGGGGGAACAGCGATGAGAGATGAAGGGAAGACGAAAAAACACAAAGACAGAAAGGAAAAGGGAAAAAGAGAGAAAAGGAGCTGATGATAACAGAAGTTGGATTGGGAGAAGAGTATCCCTTTGCTCTAATTTTATTCAGACCGGAGGGAATTGGAAGATCCTGTTGTTTGGCTGGTCCTGACAAAACCAGAGATGCGAGGGAAAATGGGACAGTGGGTGTTGTCAGCAGAACGTACTAAAAAAAGCAGACGTAAAACAGCAACAGGACTCCGCTGATGAACAAACCGCATACTAACACGAAAAAATCAGCCAGCACAGGCCGGTTTATGAGAACTGTGTGGTGTTCTTGGGTGTTTCCCCTTTTTGTCCCCAATGTGTGGGACGGGGAAAGGGGAGGAAACTGTGGAGATACTGTTAAAATAAAGCGTACTGCAAAACAATAGAGTCATTGTCAGCCTATGGCAGACTTATAATAATGTCTAATCATGTTAAAATGAGTGTATTAGTTGATAATTATGGTATAGCACAACTAAAACAGTGCGATGAAAGGCACAGATTCACAGAAGTCAAAATTATTGTTATTTCAGCAGAACCTTTGAATCTTTTGATAATGCCCTGCTGAAGCAGAGGTTGTTTTATATGCGTATCTGATCTGTCAGTTGGCTGATTTAGCAATTCTCAGGTAGTACACAGAATGTGACAAAGTTCAAACTAGCTTAATGAGGTGCCTCAAGGTTCCGAGCTCAACCCACTTTAATTTGCTCTATATCTGCTTTTGGCTGCAAAGAATGTGGAACGAATATTGTTTGTTATGCAGATGATGTGAGTTTGTATATCTGTGGATCTTCTAATGAACTACAGTCCACCTTCATTGTTTTATTGTTAACTTGCTCAGCTTAAACTTGTGCTGGATGTAGCTAAAATGAGTTTTTTTGTCGTCTTTCTAATATTAGGATAACGCCTGTGGACACTGTAAATATTGATACAACTCAAGAGAAGACAAAAGAAGTTACCTTTTGCAAATTTTAAGGTATTCGGCTTGATAAACGTATGTCAAAGATACTGTTGGTCTTTTAAAGCTTGGCCAGGAGAAGGATCGCTGTCAGCTGTTACTGTTTCTTGATTTTTAAATATGAATGAATCGATACAGTGTCTTCACACTTCTGACATTTTCATTCACGTTCGTGGCATAACTCTACGGGGACAACATCATCATCTATCAACATCATTAGGTCAAAACTTTATGTGTCCAGTAATGACTGCAATATAAAGGAGCTTCAGTATTTGGCACAACAAAGCTGAGTGAGGCCAACTTCAAGGAGAAAGGGGGGCATGCGGGAGCTGCTGAATCAAAGAAATGGATACCGCCAAAAGAGGACTTCTAATGAAAATAAAACTTGACAAGTGGACTTCACTCAAAACCCAAAGGACAGTCTAACAGCCCTCTTGCTCCTAATGTCGCTATGCAAAGAGAATGCTGAGCGTGCCTGTAGATCAGGTTTAGTATCTCAGCCTGGCCCGGTCCCCAGGTAGTTAAGTGAGTACCTTTATACTCAAACACAAGGTTATCACAGAAGCTATACATCAAAACCATAAAAAGAGACACAGTGGTGCAGAAACACGAGGCCAGCGGTGCAGTGAAGATGCGCCCAGAAGAGATAAAGGGATTGCTGGCTGGGGCTGCTGTTAGGATGTAACAAAGGAGTCTGCTGGTGATGATGAGGACGGGGGTGAAGATGCAAGAGGACTGAGCAGAGGGAAGGTGCTTCGTCATGCTCAGATGCTCTGTGGTGTTCAACTAGCTCAATGAATTAACTCATTGTTTTTGTTAACCTTGAGGTTTCAGTGCTTGAGTCGTGACGATTTCTAAGGTTTAACTGTCGGACTCAGCTCATTTCTCTAAAACGTTTTATGAACTTTGACTGTAAATGGGTAAAACATACATTTAAGTTTGATTATTTTCCTATACACTACTTATCAATTATTTCTTGGCATTAAAACATATAATATAGCCAACTCAGCAGTAAAACTGATTCAATAAATACTGTGAAATCTACACAAACAGGAGAACATGAGAGGGAAAGAATGGAAGAGTAGGAGGCAGTTGGAGGTGCACGATTGAATGTTGAATGAACTGCGGCATAAATTAGAGTACAATAAACTAGTCACATGATCAGGTTGGAATATATACTCTTACTTCTTGCTGCATTACAATAAATAGAATGAGTAGCCCATGTTGTGATATTTAAAAGGTCCCATACTGTGCTTCTTTTCAGCAAATAATCACTCGTCTCACTTGTCCCGACAGTGTGTCTTTTCAGTTTTTCAGCTCAAAATACTGCAAAGATGATTCGTTTCCTCAGGACTGCTGGTTTTTGGGGCTGTTTTGCTCTAAAAAACAATGAGCTGCTGCTGTTCTCGCACATGCTGTCTGAGTTTCACAGTTTGAGCTGGACGACTTTTGGTTAGTCAGGTGTTACATAGCACCTGGGTCGAATTCTTAGTGGCTTGTAAAGCTGGGAGGTTAACTAGTTATGTGTGTGTGTGTGGGGGGGGTTAAGAATGGCAGAAGTAAATTCCATCTTATCTTGCATGGCTTTTATTTTCAAGTTTATAACAACAGCAAAACACAAAAAAATAGATTAGAACCACATGGGATCTTTAAAAAAATTCCAGCGCAAAAACAGACTATTAATAAAATTAGGTGTTGGGTGGTCATTACATTAATTCAGTTCTTCTTGTTTTCTGTACACACAGGCATCAAGAGGATCACCTAAATTTAGTTTCATAGTTTTTAGTGTCACACAGACAACGCAAATGAGCAGATTTAAAAAAAAAAATTAGGATTAGTTGTTTGACAAACATATCAGATCAAATTCAGTGTATCACATTTAGCTGCTTGACAGCCAATTCCCAAGATGTTTTGTGTTGCCAGTCCACCCCAGTGCTGGTGAGCTTCTCACATAAATCACTGTCCGGAGGTCCAGACCGGGTGCTGCTCCAATCAGGCTCTTCACAATGTTTGGCAGGAAGTGGAAGAAGCCACACCTTTGGAGCGGGAACTAACCGTGTGCAGGGGACCACACGTCTTAATCTGCACACACGTCAAAAACTAAAAATGAGTGTGGCCACAAGCTGCAGCCACAGTGATCAAACACGCCAAACTGAGCAACACTGCCATTTGGCCACAGCCTTACTTTCTGTTTATTGCTAATTAAAATGTGATACGATAAACATTAGCCATTCTGTCACGGTGACCATATTGGCATTTGTCTAAAAAAACCCCAACTATAATTCATTAGCGTTTATAACATTGTGGGATCCCACTCTTAATATTTAATTAGTCTGGTTAGTTTGCATATCAGTAACACTGTAGGGTCTTAACCTTTATATCTTATTCTGTCAGGTAAAGTTGAAGTTTTGTAGGGCTTTCATCTTAATATTTAAATCAAAATATAAAAACACAGC